AATGCAGGGCACCTAACAACTAGGAGCGACGTATATAGCTTCGGGGTTGTTCTCCTAGAGCTGCTTACTGGTAGAAGGTCCATGGACAAGTCCCGCCCTAAGAGGGAACAAAACCTAGTAGACTGGGCCACGCCCTATCTAACCACGACCAGGAGGGTTCGCATGATCATGGACCCTCGGCTCGAGGGACAATTCTCTGTAAAGGGGTCGAGGGCTGTGGCTGCATTAGCTTCTCAATGCGTGAACCCGAAACTGAAGGCTAGGCCGCCGATGCATGTTGTGGTTGAGGTCCTAGAGGGGCTGCAACATCTTAGAGATATGGCGGGAAATGCACCACCCGCTCCATTGACTCAGACTTATCGGACCCAGAGAGCGGCTAGGAAGCCATTCTCAGAGCATGTGCATAAGGTGTAGCGAGAGAGAGAGAGTGTGTGTGTGAGTGTGTGTGTATTTTGTGTGTGAATATGTAAATACTAAATTTCACATGATGTATTTGTTGTTACTGTGTGAGTTCTACTTGGAACACATCGTACATAAATTGGTGATTTATTTTCATTCATCTTATTCATTTATTTTGACAAATATTACTACTTTTATTAAATGTTATGGAAATGCGATTACATTATCAGAAATACAAGAGAAGGTAACAAAGCACCCCCCTTAGCCAATTCATCAACCACTGAATTTGCTTCGCGGTAAACATGATAGGAGGTTACCGTAATGGAAGAAGATAAATCCATAATACATAACCAAAGATGACAAAGATCCCAAGGAATACGCTGCTCCTTGTTGCACCACTTCACTACATTTAGTGAATCCCATTTTATCCAACACATATCCCCACAATTTCTCTCTTTAAAAATCTTCAAGCCATGATAAAGCGCACTCAATTCAGCAAGGTTTGCAGTTGCACACCCTATCGGTCCTGCATATAAAACGATGGTATTACCATAAGAATCACTTAGAACTCCCCCAAAACCCGTGATCTGGGATTGCCGAGAGAGTTGCCATCAAAATTTAGTTTCAGAGTACCCTGCACAGATGTCGTCCAAAAGGTTTTAGGCCAACTTCTACTGACCCCAAGAAGAAATAGATTGCTCAGGTTAGCTATTACATCAATCTTGGAGACTTCCCAACCCTCCTTAGAGATAGAAAGCCACGGCCAAATGGACAATTTAATAGAATGGATCAAACAATCCAAGGAGAGAGCAGCACCATCAAACGTCCTTCTGTTTCTTTCTTTCCACACTTCCCAAAGGATAACCCCTTTAGCTATGTTTCAGAAGGTTTTACCTCCCTTCGGCAGGTGAGGTAAGGAAAGTTGAGAAACCATCCCTTCCACCATAAGAGAAAGATCCGTACTTATATTAACCACCCCAAGCAACCAATACCAAATTTGGCTCGTAAGGGACAATGAACCAAGAGATGTCCAACAGATTCACCATCAGACTTGCACAACAAGCAGACATTTGGTATAATCTTTCCCCTTTTGATCAGGCTGTCGATTGTCAAGATCTTGTTCATGGCTGCCAACCAGATAAAGACTTGCACCTTGTGAGGGATGTGGATCATTTCCAAACTTGCGCAATCTGAGGACATAACCATCTCCACCGATCATTGAAAAGAAGATTATAGTAGGAATTGACAGTGAAAAATCCATCACTTTCCAATATCCATACCATCTCATCCACCGCATTTGGGGTAACATAGATTTTATCAAGTAATTCCATTAGCGAACACCATTGTGCAAAACGAGTATTATTAAGCTTGGTATAAGCCAATGGAAGATTCCAAGATAATGAATCCCCTCTTCTCTCAACTACTTCACAAACCTTAATATTGGGACTTGCGACAATCTCAAATAACTCTGGGAAAAGAGACTTAAGAGGATACTCACCCACCCAAGTGTGATGCCAAAAGGAGATTAGGTTTAACTCTAAGAAAAGAGATTTAAGAGGATACTCACCCACCCAAGTGTGATGCCAAAATGATATTAGGTTTCCACTCCCAACAGACCATCTACAATATCTAGCAATCATAGGCCTGTGATTTGCAATATTCCTCCATAACTGAGAAGTTAGTCTACCTCCCCCTCTACGAAGTCAAACTCCCGATCTCCCCATACCGTACTTAGCACTGTAAACTTGATATCAAAGCTAGTCTTTAAGAAGAAAACTTCTCCACCACCACTTACATAACAAAGCTTGATTCACCAGTCTAATGTTTCTAATGTCCAAACCCCCATCCTTTTTGGGTGTACACACCATGTCTCATCTCAGCAGATGAAACTTTCGAAACTCACTACTAGAACCCCACAGGAAATCCCTCATCATCTTCTTGATCTTTCTGGCAACCACAGCTAGCATGTTAATCAAGGGCATCAGATACACTGGAAGATTGACGAGGCATGATATTAAAAGAGTCACTCTACCATCAAGAGAAAGGTACTTCGGTTTCTACAGATCTAGCTTACATGGAACTCTCTCCAACACCTTATCTCATACTGCTATGGGTAACCAAGAATCAGAAATTGGTAAGCCAAGATAAAGGAGGGCGAGAACCACATTGTAGCCCAACACATAAGCCAGAGATGCAACCACGCCTTCGCTACAATTGATTCCAACCATTGATGATTTGTGAAAATTTACTTTGAAGCCCATAGTCACCTCGTAGATGTCCAAAAATCTAGCAGTATTCTTGATCTGTATTGGATCAGCATCGTAAAAAATCATAGTGTCATCTGCATATTGAAGATGGAAAATCACCAAACTGGAATTTGTAATAAAAAATCCCAAAAATTACCCCCCCCCCCCCCTCCCCCCCCCTCTCCACACCACTCAACATCAAACTGAAGCACTCCACATAAACGATAAACAAGAAAGGGGAGAGAAGATCCCCTTGACGAAGGCCTCTCGATGCTTGAAAAAAGCCAATCGGACTACCCTTGAAGAGCACGGAGAAATGGGTAGACGACAGATCGTCAAACATCCAACTTCTCCATCTAAAACCAAAGCCCACGCCTTTTAAGATTTCTAACAAGATTCCTTATTCCACCCGATCATAAGCTTTTTCCATATCCAACTTCCACAGAATTCCTGGCTTCTTACTAAAGACTCTGCAATAAGCACACTATCTGTAATATGACGGTCCTTAATAAAAGCCGATTGGTTGGTAGAAACCAAGAGAGGTAAGACAGTTTTCAAACGTTCTGCCAACACCTTTGCTATAATTTTGTAGAGACTAGTTAGAAGGCTCATTGGGCGAATGTTAGACAGATTTGAAATCAAAGACTTCTTAGGAATTAGAGCCAGGAAAGACGAGTTTACCCCGTTGAAAATCTCACCTCTAATCATGAAACCTCTAACGAACTCCAAAAGCTCAGCTTTTACCAAATCCTAAAATCTTTGGAAAAAAACTAAAGGGAAACCACCAGGACCTGGGGCTATATCTCCATGCATAGCATAGACAGCCTTGTGTAACTCATCCAAAGAGATGTCATCCTCCAAGGAAATCATTGAGTTTACCGAAATGACCTTAAAAGGAATTCTACTAAAAGAAGGGGTCAAGTTGACTTCTTTAGAAAAAGCCTGCTTAAAATGATTGATAACTGCCCCTTGTATAGCTACATTGTCTACAGAATCAATCCTATGAATAGATAACCCTAAGATATCATTTTTTCTTCTTCGGCACGAGCAATAGCATAGAAAAATTTAGTGTTCAGATCCCCTTCCTTCAGCCTCTTCGATCTCGACCCTTGCCTCCAATAGAACCCCCTCTGAATTAAGAAGTTCCTCTAATTCTTTCAATTTATGGTACCTATCGAACGCAAATGGCTCATTTAGCACCCCACTGGTTTGAATACTACAATCTACCGCCTCTAAGTCGACAAGGGCACCATCAATCTTCTTTTTAATATCAAACTTATTTCTTTCTTCCACACAATCAACTTGTGTTTGATATTCAGTAGTTTTCCACTACAGTATTAACCCAAGTCCCTTTTATCAACTAGACAGCCTCTTTTTCAGCCAACCAACCCACATCCAACCTAAAATGTCTCGGACCACCATCCAAAGGACCTGAAGTCAATAAAATAGGGCAATGGTCTGAGGAGACCCTTGGCAAGGCTTTAACAGAGGCAAGAGGGAACTCTTCCAACCAAACCGGTGAAACAAAAAATCTATCTAATTTAGACATAGCTAAATTAGAGAGATTGTTATTCGACCAAGTAAATTTGGAGCAAGATCAACCAAAAAATTATTTTCAATGAATCTATTGAACATTCTCATAGACGAATTAATAGGGGAGCCAGCAAGACAACTGTCAAGCCAACGAATCAAATTGAAGTCCACTCTAATCACCATAGGGTAAGAAAAGGAATGAATCGCATAGTGTAAATCATTAAGGAAAGGTTCTTTTAAAGAAGACAAACAAGGCCCATAAACATTCACAAACCCCCAAAAAAAACCCACCTTCGGCCCATGATAACCAAGAAGTAGAAAGTGATCTTTTACAATAACTTCAAAATTAAACCAAAACCAAAGGGTCCCACAAAACTCAAAGACTACTGGAAGCACCAACAACATCAATACCACAAAAACCAATAGCATTGTTACTAAAAACCTCCCGAGCCTCAGAGACATTGAGGCTAGGGAGCTTAGGTTCTAGTAAAAACAAAATAACCGGATTAAATTAAGATACTAGAACCTGACATCCCTTTTCATGTTTGGATGTCCCAACCCCCTAACATTCCAAGACATAAAATTCATTGAAAATCAGAATGATAAGATTAGAAGATGAACCTAGTCCGTGAGGACCGTAATGAAGAACACCCTCCTCATCACCAGATGAACATGATGAAGAGGAATCAACGTCAACCACCTTTGGTTCCCAGAATACAATCGCGTTGCCGATAGGAGCATGCAATCTTGGACTATCACGAGCCCTGATTCTGGCAGAAGAACGAGACCCTCTTCTGGTCTCCTTAATTTTCTTCCCAGCAGCCTTCCCTTTAGCCGGTGAATTGAAAACATTTGGCACATCCCATAAATATTTTGGCAACTTCCCACTAATCATATCCCTCTTTACGGCTAAACGTGACCTACGATGAGCCTTTATCTCCTCCATAATCATACACAGAGGAACATCTTCCATTCTCATATGCACGACCATATTGGCAATCACAGAAGCCTCTTTCAAAAGCAACTCTACCTCCTCCACATTACTTACCTTTGAAAGCGTAAGCTTCAGAGACTGCTGACCCCTCGAACCTTCTGCATGGAAGACACCAGCGGGCTGGGAAGAAGCCACTGGAACCACTCCCGCAATCTTTGAGACCACCACACCTTGGACAGAGGCAGGGTCAAAAGTGGTCGTAACCTCGGGGGCTTGCATGGACAGAGGTAGAGGAGAAAACATTTCACTTCACCGAAGAAGCTCAACTCAGAGACAGGTACACCCAAAGCTGAGTCGACCGGAGCATCAATAGCAATTGGTTGCCGAACGACATATCCTCCTCCT